AAACAGTAGTCTATGGTTTCAAGACACAGTTCAATTTACAATTCAGTAATAACAAAAGTCCAACTAAAGTTTTATCCCCGAATCCGACTAACATTGTAACAGAGAGGCACTCGCACGGGAAAAGGAAGAGAGAGAGAAGAGAGGAGAACAAGCAGTCAGACTACAGCAAGTAGAGAAAGCAGCAAGAGAACAGATTGAGCATTTAACAAGAAAATGTGCTTGTCTACGTAAACTGTAAGTTATATTTGTTAAAATTAACATCAAATATAAATAATTAGAGCTTAACTATAAAGATATTAGGCAAATTTTGAAATAAATTTTAATTAAAAAATACGACAAACATTAGCGTGAATATTTAACAGATCTATTGGAAATATGCTTATGTTTAGAAAATTATATCTTGACAAATATACGATATACTTATCCCGAAAGTAGTTTTGGTGATACGTATTTCATCATCAGCTCATACTTCCCCACCGAGGGGTTCGGAGTCTACCCTAAGTTAAGGGTGATTAGGCCATCAACCACGCTGACCAAGTGATTTCACACATATCTTTGAATTTCTCAGATGTGTGCAGCATCACGATGTTTTCCTTCATCGTAACGTCGGATATATATACATATGTAAATAGGAAATGGATAAACACATTGGTATAGTGCGGGATTCAAACCCAGGACCTGTTTGCAAGTCAAGTTGACCACTGAGCCACCGACGCTCTTTATACATATTTATGCTGAAACATATAACTTTGACGTCCATAACTTCACCGGCGTTCAAAATGTTAAAACACGTGATTAACCTTTAATTCGAAGAAATTTTTTTGTACCTTTTTTTTTAGTAAAGCCATACTTACGTAATTTTCTCTAATTTAGTTCAGTAGATTTTTTTTAATTAGTTGTTCGTCACACTGGAGACCATCGAATTAAGGGTTAACTAAAAAGCGTCTTAGGTAAAGTTAATCTTTAAAATTACTAGCTTTTAAAATATTAGAAGGGCTTATATTTGAAGATAAATTAGATGTAAAATTGCTATAATGTCACTGATGTCAAATTGTTACTATAAAATTGTTTTTAATAACAAATTATGTGATTAATTTTACTAATATTCCAATTGCTTTTTAAAAGACGCTTAAAAGATATGGTATTTCGTCACTTTCGCGCTTATTTACGTTGACATTTCGTACAAACCATGGACAAGGGATCTCTAGAATCAAATTTATTTGCGTCCCGGAGGCCTAATTTAGTCTTCTTTCCCTTCCCAACCTTTTTCTTATAAGGAAAGGATGGGAAGTGTAAGGACTTTCCGGATGAGAGGATGCATGGAAAGGGAAAATGTTTTCTGTGCATCCTCTCCTCCGTCCATTTGCGTATGTCTACGGGCAGCGGTCACTTCGCTATTTCAGCGATTTCATGTGTTCGCTCGTTTCCCATCTTATGATATAAAAAAATCTATGAACCATAGACAATGGAAACTTTTTAAAAACAGTTTCGACGACATGCGCGCGCGGCTGTCAACATGCGAACACAACGCCGACCAGGGGGCGAGAGCGAGAGAGAAAGAGATGCAGCTTTTACGTACAGAAATCGCCAGACTTACTAAGATGTTGGTGGAAGAAAGGTATAAATCAGAGATAATTTGACGACATCTTATATATAAAATTCTCATGTCACAATTTTCGTTCCCATACTCCTCCGAAACGGCTTGACCGATTCTCATGTAATTTTGTGAGCATGTTGAGTAGCTCTAAGAATCGGACAACATCTATTTTTAATCGTCAATAGCCTAATAGTTAAGGGTACGGATTTCCGATCACGAGGTCGGGAGTTAGAATCCCGCCATTCGACTATTGTAAACCATATCCTAGCACAAGCCTAGAGCTTAGTTGGAATGGTTAAAGAAATATTAGTAAATTATATATAAAAATTAAAAAAAAATCACGCGCGGACGGAGTCGCGGGCTACAGCTAGTATAACAATAAAAATACGTTATATTTTAAAAGGATGCGATTGAAAATTCACTATTTTTATGTAGATTACTTTAATATTAGCCTGATTACTATTACGTTTATTTTATGTTAAAGTTAAAGACTAACTATAGCCGTGACTCCGTTTGCGTAGAAATAAAAAAACAAACAATAAGTAGTCTATGTGTTCTTCCAGACTATGTTCTATATGTATGACAAATTTCATAAAAATCACATCTAAATATTCGCATTTATAATATCAGTAAGATATGTTCTTTTAATTTATTCATCGTATCTTCTTCCTTACTTTATCTTAGATAATGAACATTTACAGTTCACCAAACTTAGGTGCTCGGACACGAGCTGACGGATGCGAGAATTTTAACAAATCTGAGGAATCTTTCCTCACTAAAGCCTCGATAACATCAGAAGAAGAAACAACTTCGCAACGAAAGGGTGAGATATTTTTATGTAAGTGAAAACGCTTAATAAATACATCTAATTGCTTGCTTATATTATTTTATTTTGGAAACTAACAAACCTCTATTCTTTGTATATATAAACTAGCTGTCACCCGCGACTCCGTCCTCGTGGATATATAAAAAAAATTTAATGAGTGTAGCTCATACATCCATCCACATGACATCCATCTAAACATTCGCATTTATAATATTAGTAAGTTAAATAAAAAGCAGCTCTTCAAATGAATAAATAGTATCCTATGTCCGTCTCCTGGCTCTAAGTTTCCTCCTCACCAATTTTCAGGCATATCGGTAAAGTCGTTCTTGAGTTATAAATAGTGTAACTAACACCACTTTCTTTTATTTCATAATTAGTAGTCAATGATTTCTCCCAGACTATGTTCTATATGTATGACAAATTTCATCAACATCCATCCATCCATTTAAACATTTGCATTTATAATATTAGTAAGATTTGATATTAAGAATGTATGAAATAAAAAAACAAAATATTCTCTCTACTTTTACTAATAAACTATACACTACTGTTTTCGTTATTCTATATGAATATAGCAATTCAATTTCATTTATTACGAAAGAAATGCCTTTTTTCTTTACTCTTCAGGCTATAAACGCTTAAAATTAACAATATTTACAGGAGGAACATCTCGAAACGTTCGCCGGCGCGCCAAAAGTTGAAACGTCAAACGTCAAATTGCAGACGTAATTCAAGACGTCCTAACATTCTAGCTGTTTCATACTTTGTATAATAAAAACCAATAAAATTGTTCCTTTTTTACCTTTTTTACAAGAAAAAAAAAAGCTTAAGCAAATATTTTAAATATATATCCTTGTATTCATTCTTTTTCATTTTAAAAATTACTTTTTATTTCGTCATTTCATGTTAAAATGTTACGAGTAACCGAATTCCGAACGTATCTCCATAGACAACAAAAATCGCGGGATTATAAATGTCAATTGGAATTTAAAAACAAAACTTTTGTTTTTTTTTAATAGCTTGTAGTTTGCAAAATATTACTTCGTATTTACCTTTTAATACTTTATACTCTTTTGTTATTCAAACGGAATTCATTAGAAAGAGAAAGAGTATTTAAAGTATTAGATAAGACAAGGATAGATAGCTTGTCGCACGAATTTCCCGCTCCGAGGCAATACCACATAGAAGACAAGCGCCATGAGCAAGTAATTCTGCAATTTGTCTAATTGCATGATAGTCTAGTATGTCGGAGACTAAATTCTATTCCTCTTCCCTTTTCCATTTATAAGGAAAGAGAAGTGGACTTGGTGCGGGAAGATAAAATATAATTGTATACATCCCCTCTTCTACCCATTTAATGTAGCCACCGATACTGTAACTTTTAACTTTATGTCTGTGGTTAATCACTTCGTTATTTAGCTGAAGTCAGAAATCAGATCGCTCGTTTGTCATCTTAGACTATAAGAATACTTAGTTATTAAGTATATTAATAATAAAATTATACTCCAATACTAAAAACATCAATATTTCTATCCGATACAGTGCCGGTGTATCGCAACACTAGTCTAACTAAAATATCGATGTTTATGTCCCCTCACTAATCATTCTGACACTTGACTTTGTAACAAAAGCCCGCCATTGGCGCCAAAAGATTCTTATTAATAATGTCTAAAAGTACAGATGATACAGATTTACAATGATGAATTATAGTTTTGAATTTCGCGGTTCGGTTTACGCGGTTTAAGGTAACACGATGCATTTTTATTCTCCTGCACAAGTGGGTAGTTTAAAATCCCCACCGCTACGATAGAGCGCAGGGCCTGAGGGGTTTGTGCGGGGAAATTTACAGTTGAGTGTCAGCATCGATAGACGACGGAACTTTAACGGAAAGAGACACATTAGACGTGTCGATTTCAGTCGTAGAGTTTACGGTTCCGCGATTGGTACGACGACGCGTCTAGCGCGCTTAGAAGCCGTGCATCATCAGGGTAATATTTTTGGCGACGACTACTTGACAGTGACTTATTTAACTTGATTGACACCGACAGAGTGATCAGGACCAGCAGACGGTGAACGTGGCACCAAATTGGTAAGTGCCACAACACTTATTTTCAAATTTTACGCCAACCCTTGCAACTTCTCGTAAACCGAACCAGTCGTAGTCTGAAAACATGATATTCAATATAATGTAAGATTACTTAAAGCTGTATTTACTCATTCGATATGTAAATAAAATGTATTTTGTAATAAAATATGATCCGAAAACCAAATTCCTTTTATTTCAATTACATAATAATTTTAATTTTGCATGCCTTTGAAGCGTTAGCCGAGGCTTTTAATTCTGAATTTAGTGTTGCCAAAACTGAGAATAATAACTTCGTTTTAATTCAGATTATTAAAGTTAAATAATTTGAATAAAACGAATTAGTTAATTAAAACGAAATTAAATACAAAATTTAATATCTGCATCTCTTTTTTCACCATAAATCCTACTTAGAAAGTACGATGGCAAAAAGTTATGTAGTCATAGCGTAAAAATTAATCTATCAATGTCAAATTGACATTTCTTTGACAAGAAAATTCATATTTGTATCCTAAGTTCCTAACCTAAATAGTTCGTATAATCGGTGATATAATATTAGTAAAAAATGTCTAATAGCAATTTATTCTTGAAATCCGGCTTCGTAAGAGCACCACTTCAAAATGGTGTCGGCCGTTATGTTTGTCAGTTACAAAGGATTGTGTTGAAGTTCTGCAAAAGTCATGGAGGAAGTCGAGGACTACGGTAAGAGATTAAAATATTTTACTATGTATTTACTTTAGCGTTTAAAAAGAAACGAAGAAAATTATTACTTGCTTTCTTAATTGTCTGTATCTTCACTTATAATTTTAGAGATTACATAGAACAAGATTTAGTCGACTTTGCATCAAACAATCCAAGTGTGGTTGTATACTTAAAGCCACGCAGACATCGGAGCCCTGTTGTAGTTGCTGAGTATTGTAAGTATTATTCTATTTGTCAGCTTGCATACATCCCCATTAATTAGTTAAATTAGAATTTTCCTCACAAGATTATCTTAGATTGATCAGAACATGTTGCATCATAATGTTTTCTTTCATGCTCTTTACCTCATAATTATCACCTCAACATACATACCGAGCGGCTTGAAGCCAAGCTAGGAGTGATAAGGCCATAGTCAACCACGCTGACCTAGTCCGGGACGGTTGACTTTACACATCTTTGAATTTCTTCTCAGATATATGCAGCATCACTGTTTTCTTTCACTGTAACATCAGATATATGTACATATGTAAATCGGAAATCGAAAAACACATTGTTACATGGTAGGATTCAAACCCAGGACCTGCAGATTGCAACCCCTGAGACACCAACTCTTTACCTAAATAATCTTAATTATGTATTAAATACGACCAACCTAGCATTCATTGTGCATTAAAATTTTAGGAATACAGAGAAAAAAATAAACAATACTTTTGACATAAAAAATATATAAAGCGTAAGCTCAAAACATTTTTGTCCGGAAGACCTTAACACTTATACCAAACCAATGAGGTTTATTTAGCGTTGAACATATGTTTATTTGTATTCAAAATTGTAATGTTAAATAAATACAAAATATATATATAATTAATAAAAAACTCACGGAATCCTGTATGTCTAAAACTTATCTTATAATTTGTAGTAAACGGTGACAGAGTATGGATGAGTATGCATAATAAAACCCATTCGGAAATAACAAAATGGATCGAAGTAATACGTACACAACAGGGTGATGTCTCCGCAACTAGACTACGAAAGTATCAGTACACCGATTATCCATCAATTCAAGGTCCATGGACACCGTTCACATATAAAGATCCTAAATTAAATATAGTCGAGTTACCCAATGCTGAATTCGGTGCTAACAACAGATTACCAATGACGGCAACTGAACAATTAAAGATTATGTTCGAGAAGAAACAATTAGAGATAAAACCAATAGATGAATAGATTCCTGTCTTCTTCTTATGTTTGAGGTATTTATAATACATTGAATATCATTTAGTGCTTTTAACCGAACTAGGATTGTAATAGACACATCTCTACATATGTATGTAAGTACTGCATCAAATCTTACCTTTGTGTTATTTTATTACGGAGTTATAAAGTGGGTTTTATTTATGTTGAATTAAAATTCTAAAGATATGGAAATTGCTTAATTTTCTTAGCCTTTCAAATACGTAGTTTTAACCCTTAGTAGCGTGATTTACATACGAAAGTGATTTATATTTAATATTACTGTGTTTGCTTGATAAAATAAAACAATAATTTTTTATTTTTTTAATTCGGTTGGAAAGAATATTAAACAACAGTAAAATAGGTACAGCCAACCTATAAAACTAATAGTAATGTGAACATTTGGTTTAAAAGATTGGTATCAAAATTGAAACTCTAGGCTAATAAGGGTTAACTTAGTACTTCCATCTCTGTTAATCTTTTTTAAACACACTTAAGGCACTTCACCTCCACATCCTCCAATATATTAAGTTCTCTGATATAATATTTAAACTTAAATTTGTTTTTTGTTTTAAAAATGTTCCCGTAAATTACCACTGGTTTTAAGACTTATATTATCTTTTTGAGTTATTCGTATTTTTGTTCTAATATTACGACTTCAATTTATATTATATACTTAAGCCGTAGAAATATTCAAATGTTTAGTAATTTAGTTAGATGAAAATGAAATAAATAAAAATTTCTTTTATTATTCAAAAAGTCTTTTATTTAACACAAGCCTTGGTATTAACTAAGATAAAATTAACAATCATATTGTAATATTTAAACAAATAATATTCCTTCAACTACGTAAAGTAGCATAGCCTTAACTATACCTGGCCTGAGGGTTCTTCTTCTTCTTCGTATTCTTCATTACTGAAGGTCGTGCTTGTCCTGGTACGCTTCAACGGCCGTGTCGACCAGCTGCCTCCACGCCGTCCTGTCTTCCACGGACAGGGGGTCCGGACCCAATCAATCACACAGTCCGGATGCATGGCGTTGGCAGCAGGGCGCTATTGCACAAAACATAATATCACTCCGGTGCAGAAGGCAAGGGGAAACCACTGCACTATTCTCCCATGAAACTTGTCATGAATTATGCTAGATAACGAGGGTTCTTCAATCAACTTAATGTCCTCATGATTCCATATAACCCCATGATATAGCAAGTACCTGGTCAAGTTATAACACAAGCTGTTGCCTTCATTCATCTTACTAATATTATAAATGCGAATGTTTAGATGTTTGAAGGTATCTCCAGAATGGGCATGACCCTGCTGCAATAAAACTAGCTTAATAAATATCCTTTGTGTTCTTCTAAACTGTTAATCATAAGGTGGCAAACGAGCGAGCGGCCACCTGAAGTCGCTGATATAGCGAAGTGCTCGTTGCCCATAGACAAACGCAATTGCATATGCGTTGCCTACCTTTAATCGACGGCGGAGAGGATGCACATAAAGAAAATATTTCCATGCATCCTCTCATCCGGAAAGTCCACTTCCACTTCCCATCCTTTCCTTATAAGTTAAAGGGTGGGAAGGTAAAGAGGACTGCATAAGGCCTCCGGGACGCACACTCATCGGACGAAACGCGGAATTGCTTCCACATCACGCCTGTCTTCTGTCGGTCGTCTGGTCGTGGTATTTCGCTGGGCCAGTTCGTGCGAACATGTTAAAGCGGGCTCTACCACTGTTTTATTCTACATCTATGATAAATTTCATTAAAATCTGTTGAGTTGTTCCGAAGATACCTTCAAACAAACCATCCATCCATGCATCTAAACATTCGCATTTATAATATTAGTAGTTCAGTAGTTCTAAGAATCTGCTACTTTGTAAACCGGAGTGAGTGGAGTCAGCGTCAGACTATAACTCTTCTGAACTGTCCTGTTCTTTCTTAATAACTTTCTTGCTGTTCATATGTGAGTTTTTAATATGTATTTTAACATATCTAAGTGATTTGAATTTCTTTCCGCATATTTCACATTTATGTACATTACCAGAGTTATCATGGACTCTTATCATATGCGTCATTAAATATGATTTGCTTTTAAGTATTGATTTGCATATAATACATTGATGTGGTTCGCTATGACAATTTCTTATATGTGTCGTAAGGCTTTTCCGATTAGTGAAGACCTTATCACATATATTACAAGGTTCTTTATTTAGTACATTGTTACTGGTTCGATGTCTCCACTCAGCTTTAACTCCGTCGTGTACATATTTTTTATGTCTACGTAGATATATTGGTGATTTGAATTTTATTAAACATTTCGAACATTCGTATTTCTCTTTGTTATGTTTATATTTGACATGTTCGTGCCATCTTTTGTAAGGTAAAATTATTCCGCATATTTCACATTCATGATTCATTTTTGTTTTTAATCGTTTTTTGTTTTTATCATGTGATGTCATATGTTTTTTGAGGTTATTAAGATTTGTATAGTATTGAGAACATATATGACATTGGAATATTCTATTATTTATTATAACACGTAAATGTTCCATGTTGTGTATTATTAAGGAATATCTGAAATGGAAAGTTAAATTTTAGAAAAATATCTGCGGCAAATCGTAATAAATATTACGATAAAATTGTTATAATGTAGTTTAAAGCATGCTGTAAAGTGGTCTGGTAAAGAAAATGTTTAATCGGCAAAATCACTTAACTTTTTGACTTATGTATTAAAAAATTACCTTTCGACGAATCTTTGACCACATATTCGACATTGATTGTTCTTTTCAGCTTCGTTTAATTTTTTTTCAATCTCCGCGAATAGAGCGTCGTTTCTCGCACACCAGATATCATCTGGTGCAGCACAATTTTCAATTTTTACGCTAACATTATAATCTAAAAGTTTTATTTCCTCTTCTTCGAATTCAATAGCTTCCTCTTTTATGATTATTTCATCCTTGAAATCCATTTGGTTATTTGCCACCTAAATAATTATAGAATTAAAAAACTGAAGTAGGGTAAAGATGAGAAATGGAAAAATATATTTTACTAAGCGAAAAAAACTGTTACAAGTTGTCAATGTCAACATCAGCTGTACATTTCGTTCAGAAATACGAAAATTAATCGATTTCAAATCCCGTTGAGTCGATTTTGTCATTGGTACTTTTTGATCCGATATTCGTATCGATTTAAATCTATAATATATCGATTCGTTGAGCAAGCATTGTTTACTTACAAGAAAGGTGTGAATTAATAATACAATTAAATAATAAATAAATAGTTTATTATCACAGCTTAATAAAACCTTCCCTTAACATTCAATTCGGGTAAATGATCAATTTCTTTTATGAATTCATCATAATCACAACAAAAACTGTGTGTGCCGTCATTCGAACGCCATCTTAACCACGAATAGTTCCGATTCCCATCACAGATGTCGCTGCAAAATGTTAACTCGTCTATTATAGTGGAGTTGTAATACGAAGAATTGATTGTTACAAAAGCCACTGCTGTTTTGTCTTCTAAATCATAAACCACCTGAAAAAAATAGATTTTTCGTCAATCTACCCTTATCTCTTCGGAGGATCGGCACACGTACTACTCCATACATCTCTAACAGCCGTCATTTCTAAATTCTGCCTTTTTACGCATATCCTCTTTCACACAATCTATATGTACTTTTTTTGGTCTTCCTCTACCTTTGTAGCCATTACATTCGCTCATGAATAATCAAGAACACTCAAAAAGCAACCCACATTTATAATTCATAGTTGCATAATTCGACCTAATGGTCGAAAATATGTAACAGGTAAGCTAAATAGCTTATAATTACAATTATTGTACGATATTCCATTCTAAGTGGGAAGCTAATTTAATTCTTTGACTTGCCTTATAATAGTACAGAGGAACAGGAATTACTCCGTTATTGTTTTCATCAGAGTGTAAATACAACTCATGTTGTCCTCCGGAGGCATCAGCCAGTGTACACACTCCGTATGTCCCAGTGTACACTGTCACCTTCTTTCCTCTGCTGACGACGCGACGCCGTAATGCCTGGATAAAACCATGTCTTACATGAAGACTTGCAATATATTTTACCTCTGTAAAACTAACACGAACCAACAAAAAAGGGTTTTGACTGACAGAGAGATTACTTTCAAGGTACGGAACCCTATAAATTATTAATAATCTAGTTTGAACATAAAGTCGATATTATATATTGCCTTGTATATACTCTGTAACTTTCAAGAAGATTAATTACCCTGCCACCTAAGTGCAAATGGTTCTCGCACCATTTGCACTTAGGTGGCAGGGTAATTAATCTTCTTGAAAGTTGAAAGCATATAGGCTTGCTGAAAATCAGCGTAGGGAGTGCCGAGTTCGTCCCTGTATCAGTTGAGCTAACAATCTTTTGCCACGTTCTTATTTTTTCTATTCATATTAGTTCCTAAGTTAATTTATTCTTTTTTTAGTTGGCAATAACGGTTTATTCTATTCTAAATGTTCCGCCAATCAGAAGCCGTGACGTAATATACAATCTCTTCTCATTGGTTGTTTGTTTAGAGAGTACTTCTTATAACTTACATCTTCTAACGCTGCCCAGTCTCCTGCGTTCCCTCGCATCCATTGTGGTGCAGCGTTGATATAGTGAAAGGAAGCGCGTTGATGACTCCGTAGTGAAAAATCCGCTCGAGGCGCAAGATGACCTCGTGTAAGAAACTGAAAAGATTTCAAGTCTTAACCTTCTGTGATTTCTACATTGCATTATGTGGAGCGTCGGTGGCTCAGTGGTTAAAGCACTTGACATGCAATCTGCAGTTACTAACTTCGAATGCCGCATTACCAATGTGTTTTTCGATTACCGATTTACATATGTACATTTGTTCATTACGGTGAAAGAAAAAATCGTGATGCTTCACATATCTGAGAAGAAATTCAAAGATATATGTGAAGACATACTCTTTCAATCCGTCTGTTCTCATGATACAATCTTTACTTAAGGGAAAAAATCAAGATAATTCTCACCTGTTTCTTGGTAATATATTGTTGATCCATCTGATCTCCAAGTGCGTCGTTGATTCTTGTTCTCTGATTCTTCAGCGCATATACATTTGCCATTCGGACTTTGC